TGTGACCTGGCTGATTGTGAGAAAAACGTGACTACAATGTGTGACCTGGCTGACTGTGTGAATCAGTTAACTACAATGTGTGACCTGGCTGACTGTGTGAATCAGTTAACTACAATGTGTGACCTGGCTGATTGTGTGAATCAGTTAACTACAATGTGTGACCTGGCCGACTGTGTGAATCAGTTAACTACAATGTGTGACCTGGCTGACTGTGTGAATCAGTTAACTACAATGTGTGACCTGGCTGACTGTGTGAATCAGTTAACTACAATGTGTGACCTGGCTGACTGTATGAATCAGTTAACTACAATGTGTGACCTGGCTGGTTGTGTGAATCAGTTAACTACAATGTGTGACCTGGCTGACTGTATGAATCAGTTAACTACAATGTGTGACCTGGCTGATTGTGAGAAAAACGTGACTACAATGTGTGACCTGGCTGACTGTGTGAATCAGTTAACTACAATGTGTGACCTGGCTGACTGTGTGAATCAGTTAACTACAATGTGACCTGGCTGACTGTGTGAATCAGTTAACTACAATGTAATGACCTGGCTGATTGTGTGAATCAGTTAACTACAATGTGTGACCTGGCCGACTGTGTGAATCAGTTAACTACAATGTGACCTGGCTGATTGTGTGAATCAGTTAACTACAATGTGACCTGGCTGATTGTGTGAATCAGTTAACTACAATGTGTGACCTGGCTGATTGTGTGAATCAGTTAACTACAATGTGTGACCTGGCTGACTGTGTGAATCAGTTAACTACAATGCGACCTGGCTGACTGTGTGAATCAGTTAACTACAATGTGTGACCTGGCTGACTGTGTGAATCAGTTAACTACAGTGTGTGACCTGGCTGACTGTGTGAATCAGTTAACTACAATGTGTGACCTGGCTGACTGTGTGAATCAGTTAATCTACTATGTGTGTGACCTGGCTGACTGTGTGAATCAGTTAACTACAATGTGTGACCTGGCTGACTGTGTGAATCAGTTAACTACAATGTGTGACCTGGCTGACTGTGTGAATCAGTTAACTACAATGTGACCTGGCTGACTGTGCGTGAATCAGTTAACTACAATGTGTGACCTGGCTGACTGTGTGAATCAGTTAACTACAATGTGTGACCTGGCTGACTGTGTGAATCAGTTAACTACAATGTGTGACCTGGCTGATTGTGTGAATCAGTTAACTACAATGTGTGACCTGGCTGACTGTGTGAATCAGTTAACTACAATGTGACCTGGCTGACTGTGTGAATCAGTTAACTACAATGTGTGACCTGGCTGACTGTGTGAATCAGTTAACTACAATAAATGTGACCTGGCTGACTGTGTGAATCAGTTAACTACAATGTGTGACCTGGCTGACTGTGTGAATCAGTTAACTACAATGTGTGACCTGGCTGACTGTGTGAATCAAGTGACTACAATGTGTGTGACTTGGCTGGTTTGTGTGACTCAGGAGACCAAAATGTGGTGACCTGGCTGACTGTGTGAATTACGTGACTACGGTGTGTGTGACCTGGCTGATTGTGAGAATTGCGTGACTACAATGTGTGACCTGGCTGATTGTGAGAATTACGTAACTACAGTGTGTGACCTGGCTGACTGTGTGAATCAGTTAACTACAATGTGTGACCTGGCCGACTGTGTGAATCAGTTAACTACAATGTGTGACCTGGCTGATTGTGTGAATCAGTTAACTACAATGTGTGACCTGGCCGACTGTGAGAATACGTGACTACAATGTGTGACCTGGCTGATTGTGAGAATTACGTGACTACAATGTGTGACCTGGCTGATTGTGTGAATCAGTTAACTACAATGTGTGACCTGGCTGACTGTGTGAATCAGTTAACTACAATGTGACCTGGCTGACTGTGTGAATCAGTTAACTACAGTGTGTGACCTGGCCGACTGTGTGAATCAGTTAACTACAATGTGACCTGGCTGACTGTGTGAATCAGTTAACTACAATGTGACCTGGCTGACTGTGTGAATCAGTTAACTACAATGTGTGACCTGGCTGACTGTATGTGAATCAGTTAACTACAATGTGTGACCTGGCTGACTGTGTGAATCAGTTAACTACTACAATGTGTGACCTGGCTGACTGTGTGAATCAGTTAACTACAATGTGTGACCTGGCTGACTGTGTGAATCAGTTAACTACAATGTGTGACCTGGCTGATTGTGTGAATCAGTTAACTACAATGTGTGACCTGGCTGACTGTGTGAATCAGTTAACTACAATGTGTGACCTGGCCGACTGTGTGAATCAGTTAACTGCAATGTGTGACCTGGCTGACTGTGTGAATCAGTTAACTACAATGTGTGACCTGGCTGATTGTGTGAATCAGTTAACTACAATGTGTGACCTGGCTGACTGTGTGAATCAGTTAACTACAATGTGACCTGGCTGACTGTGTGAATCAGTTAACTACAATGTGTGACCTGGCGATTGTTGTGAATCAGTTAACTACAATGTGTGACCTGGCTGACTGTGTGAATCAGTTAACTACAATGTGTGACCTGGCTGATTGTGTGAATCAGTTAACTACAATGTGTGACCTGGCTGATTGTGAGAAATGCATTGACTACAATGTGTGACCTGGCTGATTGTGAGAATTCACGTGACTACAATGTGTGACCTGGCTGATTTGTGAATCAGTTAACTACAATGTGTGACCTGGCTGACTGTGTGAATCAGTTAACTACAATGTGTGACCTGGCTGACTGTGTGAATCAGTTAACTACAGTGTGTGACCTGGCCGACTATGTGTGAATCAGTTAACTACAATGTGTGACCTGGCTGACTGTGTGAATCAGTTAACTACAATGTGTGACCTGGCTGACTGTGTGAATCAGTTAACTACAATGTGTGACCTGGCTGACTGTGTGAATCAGTTAACTACAATGTGTGACCTGGCTGACTGTGTGAATCAGTTAACTACAATGTGTGACCTGGCTGACTGTGTGAATCAGTTAACTACAATGTGTGACCTGGCTGACTGTGTGAATCAGTTAACTACAATGTGTGACCTGGCTGACTGTGTGAATCAAGTGACTACAATGTGTGACTTGGCTGGTTGTGTGACTCAGGAGACTAAAATGTTGTGACCTGGCTGATTGTGTGAATTGCATTGACTACAGTGTGTGACCTGGCTGACTGTGAGAATTGCACGTGACTACAATGTGACCTGGCTGATTGTGAGAAAAGCGTGACTACAATGTGTGACCTGGCTGACTGTGTGAATCAGTTAACTACAATGTGTGACCTGGCTGACTGTGTGAATCAGTTAACTACAATGTGTGACCTGGCTGACTGTGTGAATCAGTTAACTACAATGTGTGACCTGGCTGACTGTGTGAATCAGTTAACTACAATGTGACCTGGCTGACTGTGTGAATCAGTTAACTACAATGTGTGACCTGGCTGATTGTGAGAAAAACGTGACTACAATGTGTGACCTGGCTGACTGTGTGAATCAGTTAACTACAATGTGTGACCTGGCTGACTGTGTGAATCAGTTAACTACAATGTGTGACCTGGCTGATTGTGTGAATCAGTTAACTACAATGTGTGACCTGGCCGACTGTGTGAATCAGTTAACTACAATGTGTGACCTGGCTGACTGTGTGAATCAGTTAACTACAATGTGTGACCTGGCTGACTGTGTGAATCAGTTAACTACAATGTGTGACCTGGCTGACTGTATGAATCAGTTAACTACAATGTGTGACCTGGCTGGTTGTGTGAATCAGTTAACTACAATGTGTGACCTGGCTGACTGTGTGAATCAGTTAACTACAATGTGTGACCTGGCTGATTGTGAGAAAAACGTGACTACAATGTGTGACCTGGCTGACTGTGTGAATCAGTTAACTACAATGTGTGACCTGGCTGACTGTGTGAATCAGTTAACTACAATGTGTGACCTGGCTGACTGTGTGAATCAGTTAACTACAATGTGTGACCTGGCTGATTGTGTGAATCAGTTAACTACAATGTGTGACCTGGCTGACTGTGTGAATCAGTTAACTACAATGTGTGACCTGGCTGATTGTGTGAATCAGTTAACTACAATGTGTGACCTGGCTGATTGTGTGAATCAGTTAACTACAATGTGTGACCTGGCTGATTGTGTGAATCAGTTAACTACAATGTGTGACCTGGCTGACTGTGTGAATCAGTTAACTACAATGTGACCTGGCTGACTGTGTGAATCAGTTAACTACAATGTGTGACCTGGCTGACTGTGTGAATCAGTTAACTACAGTGTGTGACCTGGCTGACTGTGTGAATCAGTTAACTACAATGTGTGACCTGGCTGACTGTGTGAATCAGTTAACTACAATGTGTGACCTGGCTGACTGTGTGACTGTGTGAATCAGTTAACTACAATGTGTGACCTGGCTGACTGCTGTGTGAATCAGTTAACTACAATGTGTGACCTGGCTGACTGTGTGAATCAGTTAACTACATTGTGTGACCTGGCTGACTGTGTGAATCAGTTAACTACAATGTGTGACCTGGCTGACTGTGTGAATCAGTTAACTACAATGTGTGACCTGGCTGACTGTGTGAATCAGTTAACTACAATGTGTGACCTGGCTGACTGTGTGAATCAGTTAACTACAATGTGTGACCTGGCTGACTGTGTGAATCAGTTAACTACAATGTGTGACCTGGCTGACTGTGTGAATCAGTTAACTACAATGTGTGACCTGGCTGACTGTGTGAATCAGTTAACTACAATGTGTGACCTGGCTGATTGTGTGAATCAGTTAACTACAATGTGTGACCTGGCTGACTGTGTGAATCAGTTAACTACAATGTGTGACCTGGCTGACTGTGTGAATCAGTTAACTACATTGTGTGACCTGGCTGACTGTGTGAATCAGTTAACTACAATGTGTGACCTGGCTGACTATGAGGACTCAGCAGATAACATTCACTTTCCCTTTCACTGAGAGTAAGTTGAAAACCCACCTGGTATGCGATGTCTTGGACCCTGTCTGGACGCTCGGCTACCAAGGAAACGGGCCCCTCGGAGAAGACCAGTCAAGTTCCTCATTTTGATCGCTCTTCAGTTTCCAGTAGGTTCTTGGGCAGGGTTTTGAGTAGCATATGGTTTAAACTAAAACAGAACAAAACAAAAGCAAACTAAATATTTAAAATCAGGTGATTGTGTATCTAAAAGGAGCAGTGTTGACTGTTGTCGTCACTACCTGCCTTGGCTGCGGCACGACTTGTAGCAGCAGAAACCACCACCAAGCCATGTGGAAACATGATGATGATGATGATGATGATGATGATGATGATGATATGCATGCTCAATAATAGGCGAGGCATATGTTTATTATTATTGCAACCAAAATTGACTCATGTTGAGTACCGGTGACTGTCCTATCTGCAACACGTTCCATTCAATTTAGAGCATGTTAATCTACAGCTGACCTAGCTCTACCTAACAAAACACAGAATTTTTATCTCCTGACATTATGTAGTTTTCTAAGAACTTGATCACAGGGCTCAAGATGATGTCTAGTTCAGTATACTCTACTGTAAGGCTGTATTTAAAGTACTGTCGGAAATAGAAAAAAAATGTATTTTCTCATTTATCTCTACAATTTATGTAGCTGGTGTGTGCAAGTGTGATATATCTGTTAAACTAAGTTCGACCTAAGTACAGTCTCAGTGGTAGGGACATTGGAAACATAGAAAAAGGACTTTCCTGAGGAGAGATTAGTGCAGAAATGAGCAATGCGGGTTTTTTCTGAGTCCAAAACGATTTATTTGGAACAGACCATGGCTTTATGCAAATTAGTGTGCATTGATATTGTATTACAAAGGACACTTTTTAAATGCCCAATTTGTAATAGACTACCATGGAGTCTGTCACTATAAAAAGAAACAGATAGGAAGGTTCATCTCAAAAGCAAAACCTGCACGGGTGTCGCATACGATCGTTGGGGTCGGGTCATCTCAACTGATTATATTTGACTTGTTTTCTGAGATTCTCCATCTGAGTGGGTTCATGAGATGGGGATACTGTTTCACAGGCAATGCATCATCTACTCCTATGTTCTAATGTAGCTGATGTAAATTGGGAAACAAATCAATACTCATGAATTCAATCTTTCGTTCTGAAGTAAGGTGAGATAACTTTTCATCAAGATTGTTTGACACCTCTGCATGTTTGAACCTGGGTCCAGCCAGTGATAATTCCAATTTCCTCATATTATTTCTCTCAGTCTGACTTCTCTTTACAAAGCAATACCAAAGCTGAACCATCCTAAAGTTCCTTCCTAATCAAATATTCTAGAAGTTTCTTAATTTATTATTTTGCTCACTGATGCCATGGCACAACACCAACTTCAGTTACCAAAAGTGGTATCATCAAAACCATGACTACCTCTCAAGTTGGAGTTCAGATTCCACATCTCAAGCTTAAAAATAAACTGCATGTTTTAGTTACAGATTTCAAAATGGTTCTGTGAAAAGTAATGAGTGTAGAATAAACACTGCCACGTTTACAAACTATAATATGTTTAGGTTATTCAGTAAGTATTGTATGATCATTTTAGACACAATCTACAAATGACATTTTATGAGTGCTTCATTTGCTGCCACTAAAATTCATTAGACATAACTTCCACTAATACACTACACTACTATGTACTGAGTGCCCTCCATCGTATTGGTTGTGTTAATCACTACTCACTAATGCTGAAACACATAACACACACATTCCTTTGATACAAAAGTGTAAATGTAACTAAAAACAACATTTAGATGCCAATGTATCTATTTCTGAGATTGACAAGGAAGATACTGATTTCAAACATCTTCATTTTTAATAGCAGATACTTTCACAAACTATTTCATCTGTGTCCAAGGACAGGGAAAGTGTGATTAAACAAGCTACATTAGTTCATATTGTATGTGAAGTCTTGAACTCATGTCCTGCTGGGCATTTTCACCGGAGTCATCAGCCTACTCAATATTTACCTGACAATATCAGTGACTACTGTAACATCTCAAAGGCTATTGGTTTAGGAGACTATGCCCCACATGTACCAGGACCCAGCATCCTCCTTACAACATCATGCTGTAGTACATTCACAAACAGGATACTGATTACATGCCTTACAGACAAGCAAACACCCAGTGACTTGCTACCTTCTTTGGTGGCTTTGTCTAGGAACTGTCCAACCTAACCCACAGTGAGGCAAACACATAAATAGGGAAGCAAAACAGATGTCAATAACAGTTTAACTTTTAAAACATACATATTCTACACCCAAACCCTGACTACATCTAAGTCAGAAACATCTTTCATGTGGTGATTGTAGACATTGGACTTGAATAGTTTGTTGAACACAATGCTGAAGCATGTTTTCTCTCTACTGTGTATCTCATTTCGTTATTGTATATGATGATGTCATCAACATACTTAAACTCCTGTGTAAAGTATGAAAAATCACCAGGTCCCACAATGCCAGCTCATTAATCTATCATTGTTATCTATTTAAATGCCTAAATAGAAAGATATGTTACTGTTTGTATTAAACTATTCCTGTGAACAAGTAGTCTTGATATATTTAGAATCTACCTAAATTAGTTGAACTGGTTCTTAAAACAATATCCTGCAATCACCACAGACCTAAACTAGCTACAGGTAATTACATATATGCACCAATACTTGACCGAATGTTGGCACACTATCCTGTACACAGGAGGTGCAGGTCACGGGTTTAGGTCAAGCAGAGCTAGTCACAGAGAATAGTTGGATGGGAGGCCATGTTCCACAGATTGCCTTCTGACTGTTTTTAATGCTTTGTCCCTACACTGAAGTAAACGTACCATGCCTGGTGTCTCCTTACTGACTGTTCAACACAGGTGACTGGTCATTTAGTAAGGGTGAGATGGTACTGTGATGGTTAACCTTATAACGCCTGACATGGCAGCAGAGGATGTTTTCTCCTGTACGTACATTGTTATCATTAGCATTACTTCCAGCTGCCTATGTTTCCATGTAGACGTACAGCACAGCTCCTGTTAGCCAGTGGGAGTGAAGGTGGGACAGACAGTAAGTGGGCAGGCTGCATACCATCTGGGTCTGTCACATTTTACATAATACCATGCAATGTATTGCCAGCTGTGCTGACACTGGACACATGGAATACATGAACAAATGTTGCTTGTCATAGACTCTACTACACAAGCTACAGCATTTATAACATACACGTGTAACACTTTGTAGCATTTCCTCACGTACAACACATACCCAACACCACAAACACTCCTAACCCCACTTCACAACACTCAAACCTTTAAAGCCTTATGTATATTTCTAGTCAAAACTGGCCTTCTGGGTTGTATATAATCCCACACAACCAACTAGCATCAAATCCTAACAACATAACCTAAAACAAAAACAAAACAAACAAACACAAAACAAAAAACAAATACCAACCAAACCAAACATACTTCAGCGCCCCTACCACTATGTCAAATTTCAAAATTCATACAAATTTAATTATGCAACCCTAACGCCCCCTTCAGGTTGCCGTATCTTTTGGTCAAATCAACCTTCTTTCGAACACTAAATGGCCTGTATGCGAAATACCTATTATGTTGGGAAGTGCACATTAAATCAGCAAATCATCATCATAGATGATAATTATCACCTAATTTAGGTTTTGAAGGATAGATAGTAGTATTGAAATTCTGGAAGCAACTGATTTAAGAGAAGTTTTTGTCAGAAGTAATGATTTTTACATGCGCCTGCTTTGAACACAAACTCTCTGACAGTTGTTTCGTAAAATTATGAGGAACAGAGAATTGTGAATTATGAATGACACTGATTTCAAAATACATCTCACAAGTTATCAGAACTTTCTAGTGGACGAAAACATGTTCTTATCACAGACCATGAACACTGTAAAACCCTAATATTCTACTTTTATTTTGTACCCTATGCTATGTTGGAAATAAATATGTACTATGAAAACAAATAAAACAAAAATGACATGTATACCTAGAAATCAAAACAAAATATCAAAGGAGAATACGAACGAAAATAAAACTTTTGATATATTGTTAAGGATATTCTAAAAGTCACATTCCGTGATTAAAATTGAACAAAAAGTTTGTAAAATAGCAATAAAAACACAAAAACGTACTCGTATTTCCCCCTATTACGGAATCACCCGACAGTTAATGAGCAGAGGGGGTATCATGTGACATGACGTCATAAGTGCCTGTTGCTGATGGCTTTCTCTTTTATTTTACGTCACAACTTAACAGTGTCTGTGGATTCTGAAGCAGTAAAAGATGTTCCTGATGTCATTTCTGAAATGGATGTTAGACGTATCAATACGATCCGATTTTACATCTTGCAAAACAATCTTCCACTGAAGATGAAGAAGAAGAATCAAGCGAAACGGAGGCAAAATAAATTTAAAAATAGACCATATCATTTAACAAGATTACTATTTGTCAGCAAAATGTCATACAGTTCCAGCCAGCAAACTCACCCCTATAAATATATGACCAGTCACTAAGAATTATTTTAAAAAAATGTGATTACAGTTCATCTTGTGTCAAATGGGTGACTGTAGGGTGTCTGGGATTTAAAAACAAAATAATTATGCTTCAGACGAGGGAAAATAAAAATTATCTGCTTCAAAAATTACACTGGAAATATTTTGTAGAAAAAATTTAGGATCCTAGTTCTCATTAATAACGTATCAAATCTCGATACAAGATCCCAGCCTGGTCGAGCAGAGATAATATACGTGATGCAGATAAGTTATTCCCCGAAAACTGGTGAATTATAAAATACTGGTCAGGACAACTTATGTTTCCCGATTGTTTGGTTATGGAAATAGTTATGGTACTCAGTCATAGCCTTAGAATGACATCTTGTCAGCCAATGAGAATACAGAACAACTTTCACGGCACACACTACTGACAAATAGCGAATCTGATGCCGATGTGCGTAATTGGACAAAATGGAAAACAATGAAAGCAACATGTACTTCATGATTTGCCGTTGTATTCGGCAATGTTTCGAGTTGACTGCATCATTTAGGGCTCCAAACTGAAAAGAACGTTATAGCGAAACATTTT